CGGGCTTGTTCAGCTCGCACTTCTCGCGTTTTGCACGGAAACGCGCCCCCTTTAGGGATTCGAGGACCGCGCGCATGTGTTCAAGGTGACTCGATGGATCTTTGCTGAAGATGAGGATATCGTCCAGGTACACAACGCAGTAACCGGCGTCGATGTGTTTTTTAAGCACGGTGTTCATGACCTTTTGGAAGGTCGCCGGCGCGTTCATCAACCCGAAGCACAGTACTTTGTACTGGAACGTCCCGAAGGGTGTTATGAAGCTGGTTTTGGGGATGTCCTCTTCCGTGATGCGGATTTGATGATAGCCGCTTTGTAGGTCAAGGGACGAGAATATGCTCGCACCCTGAAGTTTGTTGAGGTCGGTGATGTTTGGAAGTGGATACCGGTTTTTCATGGTGATTTTGTTGAGGGTGCGGAAGTCGAGGCACATGTGCAGCGAGCCGTCCTTCTTTTGTGCGAAGAGTACGGGCGCGCCGAAAGGCGATTTTGATTCCTCGATGAAGCCTTTGGCCAGTAAGTCCGCGAGCTGCTTTTTCAACTCCGTTTGCTCCAACTGGGAGAGTCGGTACGGTCGGGAGTACGGTGGCTTTTTGCCAGGTTCTAGCTCGATTGTGTGGCCAGTGCCGGGATCCGGCCCGAGGCCCGTTAAGGGCTCAAAAACCTCCTTATATTCGTCCAGCAGTTCTTCCAGTTTATCTGGCGACACCAGGGTGGGGTCGGACGTGGTCGCTGTTGTGGCGTCCATAGCGTTTAGCTGGGCGATATCGTCACTGGTTATGAAGGCAGCGTAACAAGACGCTCCTTGTTTCTGCAGTTTTTTAATCTGCTTTAGAGACACCAGGTTCGCGCAAGGTGAAGTGGCCGCGTGTAAGACCGCCGTCACGTAGTTCATGACCGCAACACCTTCGGACTGCGGCCTGTTTAGGCTCTGCAGCCGATATGAGCGGCCGTGGCGCGTCACCATGCAGGTGCCCTGTCCAAAGTCTAGTAATGCACTGTGCTCTCGCATCCAACGGCTGCCGAGAATTAGGTCGATACCGTCGGCTAGCTTAGGGATAACTTGTGCTACAATTTCGCAGCGGAATCCGTGGATACAGAGCGACATATGCACCTGACCTTGGAGGCGGACGCTATTTGCGCCATCTCCTAGCACGCAAGTAGCTACGTGGCTAGTGAGGGGCTGTAACCCCAGTTTTTGCACAAGTGCGGTGGATACGAAAACGTGCGAAGCACCTGAGTCGACTAAGGCGACAGCTTTTGTGCTAGTAAAGTTGCACGGTAGAAGTGGCGCGGTGTTTTCAGTCAGAGGTTCTAGTGCAGAACACTTGGACTTTTCTTGGCAGGGGTCGAGCCATGCTTGAAACTTGCCGCTGCAGTTTGGGGACCTGGTGCGACCACCTCCGGGTTTAGGTTCGGAGATACTGGAGTTTTTTGTAAACTCTTTGAGTAAGGTCCAACCGCGTGTTTGGAATTCCTTTTCTAGGTGGGCGCACTTGGGCACCAAAATAACCGCACTAGTTGTGTCCGGAGCGCGCTGTTTAAAGGTGCTGTAGTTATTCAGCGAAGGAATCGCGCGATCGGCTGGTGCGTTGCACCAGATATGCTGTCCACTGAGATTATGCGAAGTGAACGAGTCTGGACAGGCAAAGTTAGGACAGAGGGAATTGTCGCTTCGTACGTTACAAGATGCGTCGATCGCGAACACCCGACCCGAGGCCTTCTGCAGACACAAAAATACTGAACGAAGTACGCAGTGGCTGCAGTCCACCGTTGGTGGATTCCGGGTTGGTTCCTCTATGTCCATTGGCTCCCCACACGAGCTGCCTGAGGCTACGGCGTGGGCAATTTCCTAGGCATCCGCTTTTTTGCGGTCCTCGTTGTTGTAACACGGCCGTTTGCCGCATAGGTGGCCCTTGCCAAAGGGCTCTCCGCAATGGTAGCATATGTTCTTCTCCTTGGCCATCTCGTGTACCCAAGACGGCATTTCCATGCTGCCGCCTCGGCCGCGTCCGCCATAGGCGCCACCGCGACCGCCGCCGCGACCACCACCGTGACCGCCACCGTGACCGCCATAGCGGCTACTTCGGTGGTCGGAGCGGTTGCCGGATCCACCCCGTTGGGTGTGGTTGTCGCGGCCGCCATTCTGTCGGGGATGGGCAGGGGCATCGTTAGTGCCTAAGAAGTTAAGTCGCGCCGTTTGCGCCTTGCCCGCCTTGTGGCGCGTTTGTGCACCTTGGGCGTAGTTAACTAAAGCATCGAATGCAAACCAGTTGTTGCCGTTGGCATCCGTGGCGCATTCCCGCCGCAGTTGCGGTGGCATACCGTGAATAAGCCAAGTGCACAAGTCAATTTGAGACATGTTAGGGTCACCACGCGTAATTTCGCGAAACCGTTGCATGTAACTCGGTATGGACTTGCCGGGTTTCATTGCGTGTGCACCGGCGTGTAGTTGTGTTCGTACATGGTGGGGGGTGCAACGGCGCACGTCACCGAAAAACAACAAGAAGTCGTCACGCATGCCCTGAATTGTGAGCGTGGGGCCTTTGCGTGCGAATAAGTCGTGGTACCACTCGGTGGCCTTGCCCGTAACGTTATATCGCATGCCCATTATGGGATCACTGCCCGTTTGCATCATGTAATCAACGATAGTATCAAACCAGATTTCAGGTTTTGTTACCGAGGAATTGGGCACTCCTGTGAAGCAAGGAGGTGGCCTAAAGTTCTTAAGACTTTGGTGGTTGGCATTGTGCGCAGTAATGGATTGGACATCCTTGGAACCCACTATCCCACTTACGTGGCCAGCTTGGGCAGCTGCTGGCCCGCTCGCGACCGGCGGCGCACAGTTGGCAGCCGGCGCGGCAGTGGCGACGATCGGCGGTGGCACTGGTTGTGTTGCCTGGTCGCTGGCCTGCGCCGGCGGTACTTGTGCAGTGATCGCCGGCGGTTCTGCAGCCGTTGGCTGCACGTCAGGGCCTTCAGTTGTTGGCATGATGGTTTCGGAAGGAGGAGGAGGAGGAGGAGGTCCGGCGGCTTTGGCCTGGATGTGCGCCTCTATGTCTTCCATTCGCTTCGACATTTTCTCGATTTTGTCCATCAGCTTATCAAGTTTGTCGTCGCTTGGGGCTCCACCTGTTGGGTGTGCCGCAGGGTCCATATCGTCAGTTCGCGCGATAATACGTGCAACATTTTGTTGCGGGGACCTAAGCACCAATCTACATGGTGGCATTGCGCCAATTGGGCGGTGTGGGTGGGAAAGTGGTGGCAACCTCCCCTCAGGCGGGACGAGGTCAGCCGCAGTGGTGTCGTTACGTTCACGCTCTTCACGCAACTCACCCTGCCGTGTGCCGCGTTGCGGCTGGAGCGCGGCCGTGGGCAACATTACCCTGGTCGGCCCCGGGGCGGCAGCCGTTGGCTGCATAGTACGTGCACGCGATGGTCCTGGCCCTGTTGGGTCGGCGTCCTGCGCCGCAGATGCTAAGCGTTCTCGCATTTCGCAGCTTTTCTGCACGTAAGAGAGTTCCTCGTTAGCTTCCATTAGGAAGCCTAGTGCGGAGCGATAGTCTTGCTCCTCGCAAAATTGTCTGACTTTGTCAAACATGCGCGACGGCGGTGTGATGCCCTTACGCTGGGCACGCCTCACGTACTTTTCGTACATGTCCTGGACCTTATGTACCAGTTTTTGTGCTCTTGAAGGGCTCACCTGGCGCAGTTGGTAGCGCTCATGGTCGGCCTCCGCCGATTGGGCGCGTTGAGGGTTCCTTGGGCTAGCCATGAAGGGTAAGTAGAAAATGTTTGAAGGGACTGAAATGTAGGTGCGGAAGCGTTGGAGTACTCGACTCCGAGGTCTTTTGACCGGTTGGTCTAAGATACCAAAATTGTAACAAAGCTTGCAGTTGGCAAAGCAGTTACGAAGGAAAATATCCAACGATAAAAGGTGGTATTGATAAATACCGTTTGGTATTGGAAGATTATGAATAGTTCTTGGATGTACCGTTGGTACGATACCGTTGGCCCGGTGAGCCAAGGGCCGCCTTAGCGGCGTTACAGTACCAATGAGGCAAACCGTTCATGGATTTCGAGGTGTAACTTATTACAGTAAAGGTTGTCGCATTTGCATGACTTAGGCATTTCGTGAATGTGGATGGGTTCTGCAGGCCAAGACCCCGAGTGCCTATGCCCCGGAGTGGAAGTTGGCTAACGAATTACTGCGAGGCCAGGAACACCAATTGAGTTAATTATTGCTTGTCTTTATTGCTTAAATTCTGCGCAAAGCGCACATACTTTGGTAGATTGTAACTGCGACGGCTGGACAGAGGTTACGCATTTTCATAAAGCCAAACGAACGGGCTACAGAGACTCCATAGCTAAATCAAAGTTATTGCTTTAACTAGTACAGCAAACAGCTTCACGCGCGGGCACTCTGACGTCGACATGGCCAATGATGATGACAGGACTTCTCGCTTTGTACCCATCCAAAAGCACCGAAAAGCATAGGATTGTTCTGTAATATAGGGTAGGCAAGGCATTGCATGGTCGACTTAAAGGGAGCGCATGTTGCCCCGGCTGCGCTTTATGGGCCTCCAGAAGCCCCAAAACGGTTTGTCTAGGGTCGATACATTGCAGATAGATCATAGGTGCTGGGCTGTCGGTCATAGGTGCACAGCAGCTGGATGGCTTTCAGACTGCTGGTCATGGGAACCCGGGAGGCGTGCTGTTGGTGCAGGGCAAACCAGGGGCTGTCGGGTGACCGGCGAAGATGGATGGGCCACCCCACCTCACCCATGTGTTGTGCACAACATCCAAACAATTATAGAAACCGCATACGACACAACACCTGCCACTGCCCATCCGGGATTCTGGGGGTGCCTCTCCCTAAGTTAAATTACTTAGGGTTTGATGGCTGTTTTGGCATGCCAAGTGTTTGTGCGCCTCTTCTGGTTGTGTGTGTGATGACTCTCCTATAAATGTCCAGTCAAACGAACGGGGGAGCCACTGGCTAAATGACTTCAATACGACAGGGACCCTGGGGGATTCATGTGGGTGCGAATGATGCATATGCTAATATCACTGAGGCCTCCGGCCCCATAGATCTGTGTGGCTGTTTTTTCCTTCGGGGGGTGAAGTAAGGGAGACATGGCGCTCCGTCTCCATCCTTCCTTCATTTCACCCTCCAACCCTCACTCCACCCTCCCTCAATAATCCCTCCACAATACCATTTCTCACTCTTCCTCCACCCTTCCTCCATCATCCCCCCCACTTCCCTCAACGCTCCCTCCCAACATCCTCCCTTCCCCTACCATGTGCCCTCCCTTCTTCCATCCTGTGCCTTCCCCTCTGCTGTCCCCTTCACTCCCTTGGCCTTCCCTCCCTCCGTTCTTTTGCGAGTGAATGTGTGTGCCCCACCTTCCGTGTGCTCATGTGCCCACGTACAAATGTGTGTATGTATCATGGGTCAGTACGGGACACCTGGGAATTGACCCCAGACCCACAAGAACGTGGGTGACACCTCTGTACTGTTCAAATTCCCGCCCTGCCATGCAACATTTTCCCCCTTCCCCCTTTTGTTTTGCCATCCCCCGACTGCGGCCATGATGATGTTAGAAGGAATGCGTCGCCTAGGTTGAGGGGGCCCCCGTCATGCCCTGAAACACGCCCTCCTAACCATTCTGCCCCGCTGCGTTTTCCCCCTTTCCCCCCTCGTTTTGCCATCCCCCGACTGCAGCCATGGTGACATTCGGATGCATGCGCCGCGGGCTTGTACGGGAGGGTATACGGTGGGGACCAGTCGGGTAGCTACTAAGGGGGCCATGGGGGTTTCACGAGCAGTGACATGCATGGCCTGGGACAGCTATGTCATCTACAGGCAGTGGAATACGGAAATGATTACAAGGCGGATGCTTGGGCCAGCAGTGTATTCACGGCCGCTGGTGTGTACGGCATAGGTGTGTATGGCATAGGTGTGTACGGCATATCCATGTGACCCTTTCATGACTGGCGGAGGCATGGACTACCAGCTACATGCTGGGGTGATGACATGGACACTCTTGTTTGGTGGGCGAAACCCTGGAAGGGGTGCACCACGCACAGCTGGTCCCGGGTCACGGCAGTGGATCTCAGGATCGGGGTGTATTGGTGACATGATCAGCATTGTTGCCAGTGTCTCCGATTGGGGGTGCGGGCACAGACAGGGGCGTATCTGACACATCCACAGTGTTTTGGACAGGCGGGCTTTACTAAATTCGTAATTGGATCCGGGGGGAGGGTGATGAACATGCCGATTGAAGCGGAGGCATGAGGATGACGAGCACTGCTGGCTGACCATTTGGTGTTCCTGGCCTCACTGTAGTTCGTTAGACAACTTCCACCGCGGGGAATAGACACTCCAGGAGGGGGTGGTAAGTCTTACCATTTGTAATCATAGTTTGGCATGCTCCGACGATTATGTTAGGCTTGACTGAACTGCATGAAAACAAACAGACTCCATAGGTCGCGACAGTGAACAGGCGGATGTGTGGTGTGGCTACCATCGCACCCATAGGGTGCGACAGTGAACAGGCGGATGTGCGGCACGGCTACCATCGCACCCAGAGGGCGCGTCGGTGAACAGGCGGATGTGCGGCACGGCTACCATCGCACCCAGAGGGTGCGACGGTGAACAGGCGGATGTGCGGCGCGGCTACCATCACGCCCATAGGGTGCGATGGTGAACAGGCGGATGTGTGGCGCGGCTACCATCATGCCCAGAGGGTGCAATGGTGAACAGGCGGATGTGCGGCGCGGCTACCATCATGCCCATAGGGTGCGATGGTGAACAGGCGGATGTGTGGTGCCGCTACCATCGTACCCAGAGGGTGCGATGGTGAACAGGCGGATGTGCAGCATGGCTACCATCACACCCATAGGGTGTGATGGTGAACAGGCGGATGTGTGGCGCGGCTACCATCACGCCCATAGGGCGCAATGGTGAACAGGCGGATGTGTGGTGTGGCTACCATCATGCCCATAGGGTGCGATGGTGAACAGGCGGATGTGCGGCGCGGCTACCATCACGCCCATAGGGCGCGATGGTGAACAGGCGGATGTGCGGTGCGGCTACCATCGCGCCCATAGGGCGTGATGGTGAACAGGCGGATGTGCGGTGCGGCTACCATCGCACCCATAGGGCGCGACAGTGAACAGGTGGATGTGCGGCGCGGCTACCATCGCACCCAGAGGGCGCGATGGTGAACAGGCGGATGTGCGGCGCGGCTACCATCGCACCCAGAGGGCGTGATGGTGAACAGGCGGATGTGCGGTGCGGCTACCATCGCACCCATAGGGCGCGACAGTGAACAGGTGGATGTGCGGCGCGGCTACCATCGCACCCATAGGGCGCGATGGTGAACAGGCGGATGTGCGGCGCGGCTACCATCGCGCCCAGAGGGCGTGATGGTGAACAGGCGGATGTGCGGCACAGCTACCATCGCACCCATAGGGTGCGATGGTGAACAGACGGATGTGCGGCGCGGCTACCATCGCACCCATAGGGTGCAATGGTGAACAGGCGGATGTGCGGCGCTGCTACCATCACGCCCATAGGGTGCGACGGTGAACAGGCGGATGTGTGGCGCGGCTACCATCACGCCCATAGGGCGCGATGGTGAACAGATGGATGTGCGGCGCGGCTACCATCGCACCCATAGGGCGCGACGGTGAACAGGCGGATGTGCGGCGCGGCTACCATCGCACCCAGAGGGCGCCACGGTGAACAGGCGGATGTGTGGCGCGGCTACCATCGCACCCATAGGGTGCGACGGTGAACAGGCGGATGTGTGGTGCGGCTACCATCGCACCCATAGGGTGCGATGGTGAACAGGCGGATGTGCGGTGTGGCTACCATCGCACCCATAGGGTGCGACAGTGAACAGGCGGATGTGCGGCGCGGCTACCATCGCGCCCATAGGGTGCGATGGTGAACAGGCGGATGTGCGGCGCGGCTACCATCGCACCCATAGGGTGCGATGGTGAACAGGCGGATGTGTGGTGCGGCTACCATCGCACCCATAGGGCGCGACGGTGAACAGGCGGATGTGCGGTGCGGCTACCATCGCACCCATAGGGTGCGACGGTGAACAGGCGGATGTGTGGTGCGGCTACCATCGCGCCCATAGGGTGCGATGGTGAACAGGCGGATGTGTGGCGCGGCTACCATCGCGCCCATAGGGTGCGATGGTGAACAGGCGGATGTGTGGTGCGGCTACCATCGCACCCATAGGGCGCGACGGTGAACAGGCGGATGTGCGGTGCGGCTACCATCGCACCCATAGGGTGCGACGGTGAACAGGCGGATGTGTGGCGCGGCTACCATCGCGCCCATAGGGTGCGATGGTGAACAGGCAGATGTGCGGCGCGGCTACCATCGCACCCATAGGGTGCGACAGTGAACAGGCGGATGTGCGGCGCGGCTACCATCGCGCCCATAGGGCGCGATGGTGAACAGGCGGATGTGCGGCGCGGCTACCATCGCACCCATAGGGTGCGATGGTGAACAGGCGGATGTGTGGTGCGGCTACCATCGCGCCCAGAGGGCGTGACGGTGAACAGGCGGATGTGCGGTGCGGCTACCATCGCACCCATAGGGTGCGACGGTGAACAGGCGGATGTGGGGGGCGGCTACCATCGCACCCATAGGGCGCGATGGTGAACAGGCGGATGTGTGGTGCGGCTACCATCGCACCCATAGGGTGCGAGGTGAACAGGCGGATGTGCGGTGCGGCTACCATCGCGCCCATAGGGCGCGATGGTGAACAGGCGGATGTGCGGCGCGGCTACCATCGCACCCAGAGGGCGCGATGGTGAACAGGCGGATGTGTGGCGCTGGCTACCATCACGCCCATAGGGCGCGATGGTGAACAGGCGGATGTGTGGCGCGGCTACCATCGCGCCCATAGGGCGCGATGGTGAACAGGCGGATGTGCGGCGCGGCTACCATCGCACCCATAGGGTGCGATGGTGAACAGGCGGATGTGCGGCGCGGCTACCATCGCACCCATAGGGCGCAATGGTGAACAGGCGGATGTGCGGCGCTGCTACCATCGCGCCCATAGGGTGCGACGGTGAACAGGCGGATGTGTGGCGCGGCTACCATCACGCCCATAGGGCGCGATGGTGAACAGATGGATGTGCGGCGCGGCTACCATCGCGCCCAGAGGGCGCAATGGTGAACAGGCGGATGTGTGGTGTGGCTACCATCGCACCCATAGGGCGCGACGGTGAACAGGCGGATGTGTGGCGCGGCTACCATCGCGCCCATAGGGCGCGATGGTGAACAGGCGGATGTGCGGCGCGGCTACCATCGCACCCATAGGGTGCGATGGTGAACAGGCGGATGTGCGGCGCGGCTACCATCGCACCCATAGGGCGCGATGGTGAACAGGCGGATGTGTGGCGCGGCTACCATCGCGCCCATAGGGTGTGATGGTGAACAGGCGGATGTGCGGTGCGGCTACCATCGCACCCATAGGGTGCGATGGTGAACAGGCGGATGTGCGGTGCGGCTACCATCGCACCCATAGGGCGCGATGGTGAACAGGCGGATGTGCGGCGCGGCTACCATCGCGCCCATAGGGTGCGACGGTGAACAGGCGGATGTGCGGCGCGGCTACCATCGCGCCCATAGGGCGCGATGGTGAACAGACGGATGTGCGGCGCGGCTACCATCGCGCCCAGAGGGCGCAATGGTGAACAGGCGGATGTGCGGTGCGGCTACCATCGCACCCATAGGGCGCGACGGTGAACAGGCGGATGTGCGGCGCGGCTACCATCACGCCCATAGGGCGCGATGGTGAACAGGCGGATGTGTGGTGCGGCTACCATCGCACCCATAGGGTGCGACGGTGAACAGGTGGATGTGCGGCGCGGCTACCATCGCGCCCAGAGGGCGCAATGGTGAACAGGCGGATGTGCGGCGCGGCTACCATCGCACCCAGAGGGCGCGATGGTGAACAGGTGGATGTGCGGCGCGGCTACCATCGCACCCATAGGGCGCGACAGTGAACAGGCGGATGTGCGGTGCGGCTACCATCGCACCCATAGGGCGCGATGGTGAACAGGCGGATGTGCGGCGCGGCTACCATCGCACCCAGAGGGTGCGATGGTGAACAAGCGGATGTGCAGCACGGGGGCGGCTACCATCGCACCCATAGGGCGCGACAGTGAACAGGCGGATGTGTGGTGCGGCTACCATCGCACCCATAGGGTGCAATGGTGAACAGGCGGATGTGCGGTGTGGCTACCATCGCGCCCAGAGGGTGCGATGGTGAACAGGTGGATGTGCGGCGCGGCTACCATCGCACCCAGAGGGCGCGATGGTGAACAGGCGGATGTGCGGCGCGGCTACCATCGCACCCATAGGGCGCGACGGTGAACAGGCGGATGTGCGGCGCGGCTACCATCGCACCCATAGGGTGCGATGGTGAACAGGCGGATGTGCGGTGCGGCTACCATCGCGCCCATAGGGTGCGACAGTGAACAGGTGGATGTGCGGCGCGGCTACCATCGCACCCATAGGGCGCAACAGTGAACAGGCGGATGTGCGGCACGGCTACCATCGCACCCAGAGGGTGCGATGGTGAACAGGTGGATGTGCAGCGCGGCTACCATCGCACCCATAGGGTGCGATGGTGAACAGGCGGATGTGCCGCGCGGCTACCATCGCGCCCAGAGGGCGTGAGGGTGAACAGGCGGATGTGCAGTGCGGCTACCATCGCACCCATAGGGCGCGACACTGAACAGGCGGATGTGTGGTGCGGCTACCATCGCACCCATAGGGTGCGACAGTGAACAGGCGGATGTGCGGCGCGGCTACCATCGTGCCCAGAGGGCGCGTCGGTGAACAGGTGGATGTGCGGCACGGCTACCATCGCGCCCAGAGGGTGTGACGGTGAACAGGCGGATGTGCGGCACGGCTACCATCGCACGCATAGGGTGCAATGGTGAACAGGCGGATGTGCGGCGTGGCTACCATCGCGCCCAGAGGGCGCGATGGTGAACAGGCGGATGTGTGGCACGGCTACCATCACGCCCAGAGGGCGCAACAGTGAACAGGCGGATGTGCGGCGCGGCTACCATCGTACCCATAGGGTGTCATGGTGAACAGGCGGATGTGCGGCACGGCTACCATCGCACCCATAGGGTGCGATGGTGAACAGGCGGATGTGCGGCGTGGCTACCATCGCACCCATAGGGTGCGATGGTGAACAGGCGGATGTGCGGCACGGCTACCATCGCACCCAGAGGGCGCGATGGTGAACAGGCGGATGTGCGGCACGGCTACCATCGCACCCATAGGGCGCGATGGTGAACAGGCGGATGTGCGGCGCGGCTACCATCGCACCCATAGGGCGTGATGGTGAACAGGCGGATGTGCGGTGCGGCTACCATCGCACCCAAAGGGTGCGACGGTGAACAGGCGGATGTGCGGCGCGGCTACCATCGCACCCAGAGGGTGCGACGGTGAACAGGCGGATGTGCGGCACGGCTACCATCGCGCCCAGAGGGTGCGACGGTGAACAGGCGGATGTGCGGCGCGGCTACCATCGTACCCATAGGGTGCGATGGTGAACAGGCGGATGTGCGGCACGGCTACCATCGCACCCATAGGGTGCGATGGTGAACAGGCGGATGTGCGGCAGGGCTACCATCGCACCCAGAGGGCGTGATAGTGAACAGGCGGATGTGCGGCACGGCTACCATCGCACCCATAGGGCGCGACAGTGAACAGGTGGATGTGCGGCACGGCTACCATCGCACCCAGAGGGTGTGACGGTGAACAGGCGGATGTGCGGCACGGCTACCATCGCACCCAGAGGGCGCAATGGTGAACAGGCGGATGTGCAGCGTGGCTACCATCGCACCCATAGGGCGCGATGGTGAACAGGCGGATGTGCGGCGCGGCTACCATCGCGCCCAGAGGGCGTGAGGGTGAACAGGTGGATGTGCGGCGGCTACCATCGCACCCATAGGGCGCGACACTGAACAGGCGGATGTGCGGTGCGGCTACCATCGCACCCATAGGGTGCGACGGTGAACAGGCGGATGTGCGGCGCGGCTACCATCGCACCCATAGGGTGCGATCGGTGAACAGGTGGATGTGCGGCACGGCTACCATCGCACCCAGAGGGTGTGACGGTGAACAGGCGGATGTGCGGCGCGGCTACCATCGCACCCATAGGGTGCAATGGTGAACAGGCGGATGTGCGGCGTGGCTACCATCGCACCCATAGGGCGCGATGGTGAACAGGCGGATGTGCGGCACGGCTACCATCGCACCCAGAGGGCGCGACAGTGAACAGGCGGATGTGCGGTGCGGCTACCATCGCACCCAGAGGGCGTGATGGTGAACAGGCGGATGTGCGGCGCGGCTACCATCGCGCCCAGAGGGCGTGAGGGTGAACAGGCGGATGTGCGGCAGGCTACCATCGCACCCATAGGGCGCGACACTGAACAGGCGGATGTGCGGTGCGGCTACCATCGCACCCATAGGGCGCGTCGGTGAACAGGCGGATGTGCGGCGCGGCTACCATCGCACCCATAGGGTGCGATCGGTGAACAGGTGGATGTGCGGCACGGCTACCATCGCACCCATAGGGTGCAATGGTGAACAGGCGGATGTGCGGTGTGGCTACCATCGCGCCCAAAGGGTGCGACGGTAAACAGGTGGATGTGCGGCGCGGCTACCATCGTGCCCAGAGGGTGCAACAGTGAACAGGTGGATGTGCGGCACGGCTACCATCACACCCAGAGGGTGCAATGGTGAACAGGCGGATGTGCGGTGCGGCTACCATCGTACCCAGAGGGTGTCATGGTGAACAGGCGGATGTGCGGCACGGCTACCATCGCACCCATAGGGTGCGATGGTGAACAGGCGGATGTGCGGCAGGGCTACCATCGCACCCATAGGGTGCAATGGTGAACAGGCGGATGTGCGGTGCGGCTACCATCGTACCCAGAGGGTGTCATGGTGAACAGGCGGATGTGCGGCACGGCTACCATCGCACCCATAGGGTGCGATGGTGAACAGGCGGATGTGCGGCAGGGCTACCATCGCACCCATAGGGTGCGATGGTGAACAGGCGGATGTGCGGCGTGGCTACCATCGCACCCAGAGGGCGTGAAGGTGAACAGGCGGATGTGCGGTGCGGCTACCATCGCACCCATAGGGCGCGACAGTGAACAGGTGGATGTGCGGCGCGGCTACCATCACACCCAGAGGGTGCGATGGTGAACAGGCGGATGTGCAGAGCGGCTATCATTGCGCCCAGAGGGTGCGACGGTGAACAGGCGGATGTGCGGTGCGGCTACCATCGCGCCCATAGGGCGCGATGGT